TTAGGGCTAGGAAAGTGTGTGAGCTGCACCACGGAAGTGGGTGGGAGCCAGAGTGGCAGGAGCAAGTTCTGTGGGCGGCCCAGGACAGTGCCCACGAGGGAGGTGGCGGCAGACTCGGAGGAAGATGTGGAGAGGCTGGGCAGTGTTTGTGATGTGCTGATAGGGGGAAAGTTCAGGGTTCTTACACGCACGTCTAGGAGGGGTGCCACTAACGAGGACATGCAGAGAAAGGAGCCCATTGAGGATCCCTGGGCGCGAGGTCTGGCCATGACGGAGTTGAGGAGGAAGGTCTGGGTCCTCCTCGTGCTGCAGGAAGGAGGGCTGCCGGCGGCTGTCACAGGGACAGGACAGGAAGACGGTGGTGCCGACTGAAAGGTCAGGTTTTAGGAACGGGCAGAGAAGAGACCGTCAGTGGGTTCTCCAGAGACACAGCGGCAGAGGTCGTCGCACTGTCTCCGTCTCCTCCTCCCTCCTCTGCTCCGTGTCTGTCTCAGGGTTAGTACGTCTCTGGCCCGCTGTCAGCCTGCTCAGGCCTGAATCGCAGGGCAGGCGGCTGCCGGCACTTGGGCAGGAGCCGACCGCAGTCTGAGGCCCATCCCTTCTGCCCCGGGAACTCTGCTCTCGGCCGAGGCCCACGGATGCTGTGGAGGGACACTCATGTTAACCACATCCACAGAGACCCCGGCAGCGCCTGGAGCCGTGTTAGTTAAATTGGGGGCCATAGCCAGGCCAAGCTGACGTGTAAAATGAACCATCACAGAAGCCAAGAAGTAGTGAAGAAAGAGAGAAAACTCCAGAAGCCAATGGAAGGTTGTTCGCAGCCCCGTCTGGCGATGCGAGAGGTCACGCAGGGGAGGTTGAGACCTGGCCGTGGCTGTTGGGTGAGGAGGTGAGCAGCCTGTGAGGGGAGGTGGGCAGAGCCAGGTCCCCGCAGTCGGGGAGAGGAGCCGTGCGGACAGTCTCACCCCTGCAGCCAGGCTGCTTGGAGGCAGCCGAGACTCACCCGTCTCTAGGACTTGGCACCACATCCTAGAAACGGCTGCCCTGGCTTTGCTGAGTCCCAGTCTTCAGGTTCAGTTCCAGAGCAGGAAAGCCTTGTCCCTAAAGAGAGACAGCCTTTCACAGCACGATACAGGGGCAGCTGCTAGGAGCGTCGGGCGAGCTGTCTTCTTCCCGGGTAGCGTTTGGTCTGCTGGTCAGGGGGAGCCCGCTCCGTGGGCAGGGGACGTGGTTTCTGCAGTGAGCACAGGGATTTGTTAGTGGCACCAGGAGGTCGGTGGGGGGCCCTGCGTGTCTGTCAAGTGGGATTCAGGGTGAGCCTCCAGCAGGTGCACCAGCCGCACAGTATGAGGTTCAGGGGGAGCCTCCAGCAGGTGCACCAGCCGCACAGTATGGGGTTCAGGGGGAGCCTCAAACAGGTGCACCAGCCGCACAGCATGAGGTTCAGGGGGAGCCTCCAGCAGGTGCACCAGCCGCACAGCATGGGGTTCAGGGGGAGCCTCCAGCAGGTGCACCAGCCGCACAGCATGGGGTTCAGGGGGAGCCTCCAGTACAGGCACCAGCCGCATGGCATGGGGTTCAGGGGGAGCCTCCAGCACAGGCACCAGCCGCACGGCTTGGGGTTCAGGGGGAGCTTCCAGCAGGTGCACCAGCCGTACGGCATGGGGTTCTGGGGGAGCCTCCAGCAGGTGCACCAGCCGCACAGCATGGGGTTCAGGGGGAGCCTCCAGCAGGTGCACCCGCCGCACGGCGGGTTCAGGGGGAGCCTCCAGCACAGGCACCAGCCACACGGCATGGTTGCTCTGGTTGTGAGAATCTTGGAGTCATGCGGGCCCTTTTTTCTGACTAAAATGGATCACAGATTTAAATGTCAGGCCTAAAACTAAAGAACTCTAGAAGAAAATATATATATATTTTTATGACTGATCTAGGCAAAAGTTTCATAAGACATAAAAACTATGAGCCATAAAAGATAAAAATTGATTTAATTTATAACAGTTGAAATAGGTAAAAACCTGTAAAAATAGGTACAATAAGGTAAAACCCATTAACTGAAGAAAAATGTCCCCCTAAGCTACCAATGACCTATAGCACTTTAGTAAATTACACCTTTGCCAGCAAAATTAAAACCTTTATGTTTCCTTTCTACCTGACTAAGGCCCCCACAATTGCAGGCCCCCTTCCGAACGACAGCAGCCAGCTTTGAGATTCTCAGTGATGGTTTTGGTTTTCAGGGTTTCGGTGAAAAGCAGCCCCGTATCTGGGACAGTCATTTAGGGAGGAAGACGCTCAGTCACAGGGAGGGGAGCTCGGGGGCAGAGCCGGCTTCCTGCCGTGACGCATGGCTGTCAGGAGGCCCAGGCCTCTGTTCAGTGCTGTGCAGCAGGGACCTGGTCTTTTTAGCCTGAAAAGAAGTTTCGGAGGCGTTGTCTGCTGTGCAATATAAGAAATGAAAATAAAAGCTAGTATTTCAGCAAAGCACCCTTAGAAATGGCTGATGTCAGGCCGGTGCCGTCCTGCCTCCTGGGCTCTGGATCCGGTCTTGGATGTAAGCCGAGGTCTCTCCCCCAGAAGACAGTAGGCCCGTCTGACCGGCAGTTAGGGCGGGGGCGGATGTCAGTTGAGGCTTGTCCTAAGGGACAGTGACCAGAATAGCGAGGATGCTTTTCATTCGCGATTCGTAGTGGGAAAAGCATGGCAGTTTGTGTGAGTTCCCAGGTGAGGCCTGAGAAGGGGCGGGGTGAGGACACCCCTGTATTAACGATTGCCACCCTGGCGGTCAGGGACTCGGCCCTGCGGTCTCACCTTCGGCCACACGGCCAGTGAGCGTGGGTAGCCAGGTGGCCCTGGGCTGGCGGGGGCGGGGGCAGCCTCCTGCTGTTGCTTAGCGCTGTCTCTGGGAGGAGCAGAGTGCCGCAGCGCTTGTCCGTGACCTCCCTCCTGGGTGGGTGTTGCGGGTAAGACCTCCATGTGCGGTTTGTCACGCAAAGGAGCTGCGGCAGTCTGTGTGGGGAGGGGTGTCTGTAGACGGCTGCCCCTCGAGAAATGGACGAGGCAGCAGCCCGTGCCTGCGGTGTCCAGAGAGCAAGCGAGGTTTGGACGTTGGTGCCCACGGGAGGGCTGGCCATCACCATCCTGGTGGCGACACCATCCCTGGGCACTGCGTCGCGTGTGTTTGTTATTAATGTTCTCTGAGGAGGGGTCGCCCCCGGGAGGGTCCTGGGGAGGGTGCTTGTGGAGGTCCTGGGGAGGGCCCTGGGGAGGGTCCTGGGGCATCACCATCCTGGTGGCAACACCATCCCTGGGCACTGCGTCGCGTGTGTTTGTTATTAATGTTCTCTGAGGAGGGGTTGCCCCCTGGGCGGGTCCTGGGAAGGGCCCCGGGGAGAGTCCCGGGGAGAGTCCTGGGGAGGGTCCCGGGGAGGGTCCTGGGGAGGGTCCCGGGGAGAGTCCTGGGGAGGGTCCCGGAGACAGTCTTGGGGACGGTCCCGGGGAGGGTCCTGGGGAGGGTCCCGGGGAGAGTCTTGGGGAGGGTCCTGGGGAGGGTCCTGGGGAGGGTCCCGGAGAGAGTCTTGGGGAGGGTCCCGGGGAGGGTCCTGGGGAGGGTCCCGGGGAGAGTCTTGGGGAGGGTCCCGGGGAGGGTCCCGGGGAGGGTCCTGGGGAGGGTCCCGGAGAGAGTCTTGGGGAGGGTCCTGGGGAGGGTCCCGGGGAGAGTCTTGGGGAGGGTCCCGGGGAGGGTCCCGGGGAGGGTCCTGGGGAGGGTACCGGAGAGAGTCTTGGGGAGGGTCCCGGGGAGGGTCCTGGGGAGGGTCCCGGGGAGAGTCTTGGGGAGGGTCCCGGGGAGGGTCCTGGGGAGGGTCCCGGAGAGAGTCTTGGGGAGGGTCCCGGGGAGGGTCCTGGGGAGGGTCCCGGGGAGAGTCTTGGGGAGGGTCCCGGGGAGGGTCCTGGGGAGGGCCCCGGGGGGGGTCCCGGGGGGAGTTCCAGAGGGGGTCCTGGGGAGGGCCCTGGGGAGGGTCCTGGTGAGGGTCTTGGGGAGGGTCCTGGGGAGGGTCCTGTGGAGGGTCCTTGTGGAGGGTCCCGGGGGGGGGGGTCCCGGGGAGGGTCCCGGGGGGGGGGTCCTGGGGAGGGTCCCCGGGGGGGTTCCGGGGGGGTCCTGGGGAGGGTCCTGGGAGGGTTCTGGGGAGAGTCCTGTTGTGACTACTTAGCGGAGTCTCAGGGTGACAGAGGGGACACGGGCACAAGGGTGTCTCACCCGAAAACACCGTTCTCCATAGCGCCCTCCTGATCGGACGAGTGTTTAAGACCTGTTTCCCAGTGATTATTAAGGCAGATAAACTAGGCCCAGTGCGACTTGCCGTAGGTTTTCATGACAACCAGCAGTCGGGTGATGTGCACAGTTGCTTTGCCCTCCTGGTCCTTGTCTAGCTTCCACGTGTGCACGGCGGGCGGGTGGGTGCGGGGCAGAGCTGCCTCCTGCTTCCCTGGGTCAGGACGGAGGAATGACAGGAGGGGTGGCAGGAGGGAGATGCAGTGGCGCTTTGTATGCATTGACCTGGGTCGCTGCTTGTCTTCTCACGTCAGCTGAAATGTGTTGGTCACACCGTCGTCGGGCCCCTGGCAGTTTTTTTTTTTTTTTTTAACAGTAATATATTAGTTTATTATGGAAACTTTTAAACATAAAAATAGGACATTGATAGACCCCCCAGTACCTGTCACCCACACATTCCTTCTTCATGGATTATTGTTAAGCTCATCCCAGACATTGTATTCCATCCATAAAGTATTTCAGAAAGTGTCTCTAGTCTAGCAGATAAGGACACGTTAAGAAAACCAGAACCGTAATACCATGATCGCACCTAAAAGCATTGATGCTAATCCCACAGAATTATCAGATGCCCAGTCAGTCCACATTTCCCTGCCTTGTCATTGCCAGTTGTTGGTCCCCCTGGCGGTTTTTGTGGGTGGCCACTCACCCCGGGAAACCTCTGCTTTGCCTCTAGAACGTCGTTCTTTCAGGAGGTTCGACAATGTTCAGAGACTTTGGACGGCGGCTGCAGAGAGACTTGAAAAGGGTGGTGGATGCCAGACTGCGACTCAGCCAAGAGCTCAGCGGCGGCAGAATAAAGGTGGGGACCGGGACAGGCGGGCGTGGGATGAAGGGCGATTCTGCCCCAGCTGACTCGGCTCTCCACCACACGGAGCCTAGGACTCAGCTGTCTGGGGAGCGGGAAGTGAAAGGTGTCCGAATCCCCCCTGAGCCACACTGGGAAGTTACGGGTAGAGGTTGTCCGAATCCCCCCCTGAGCCACACTGGGAAGTTACGGGTAGAGGTTGTCCGAGTCCCCCTGAGCCACACTGGGAAGTTACGGGTAGAGGTTGTCCGAGTGCCCCCGGAGCCACACTGGGAAGTTACGGGTAGAGGTTGTCCGAATCCCCCCTGAGCCACACTGGGAAGTTACGGGTAGAGGTTGCCCGAGTCCCCCGGAGCCACACTGGGAAGTTACGGGTAGAGGTTGCCCGAGTCCCCCGGAGTCACACTGGGAAGTTATGGGTAGAGGTTGTCCGAGTCCCCCTGAGCCACACTGGGAAGTTACGGGTAGAGGTTGTCTGAGTCCCCCTGAGCCACACTGGGAAGTTACGGGTAGAGGTTGTCCGAGTCCCCCTGAGCCACACTGGGAAGTTACGGGTAGAGGTTGTCCGAGTCCCCCGGAGCCACACTGGGAAGTTACGGGTAGAGGTTGTCTGAGTCCCCCTGAGCCACACTGGTAAGTTACGGGTAGAGGTTGTCCGAGTCCCCCTGAGCCACACTGGGAAGTTACGGGTAGAGGTTGTCCGAGTCCCCCTGAGCCACACTGGGAAGTTACGGGTAGAGGTTGTCCGAGTCCCCCTGAGCCACACTGGGAAGTTACGGGTAGAGGTTGTCCGAATCCCCCCTGAGCCACACTGGGAAGTTACGGGTAGAGGTTGTCCGAGTCCCCCTGAGCCACACTGGGAAGTTACGGGTAGAGGTTGTCCGAGTCCCCCGGAGCCACACTGGGAAGTTAATGGTAGAGGTTGTCCGAGTCCCCCTGAGCCACACTGGGAAGTTACGGGTAGAGGTTGTCCGAGTCCCCCTGAGCCACACTGGGAAGTTACGGGTAGAGGTTGTCCGAGTCCCCCTGAGCCACACTGGTAAGTTACGGGTAGAGGTTGTCCGAGTCCCCCGGAGCCACACTGGGAAGTTAATGGTAGAGGTTGTCCGAGTCCCCCCTGAAACACACTGGGAAGTTACGGGTAGAGGTTGTCCGAGTCCCCCTGAGCCACACTGGGAAGTTACGGGTAGAGGTTGTCCGAGTCCCCCCTGAAACACACTGGGAAGTTACGGGTAGAGGTTGTCCGAATCCCCCCTGAGCCACACTGGGAAGTTACGGGTAGAGGTTGTCCGAGTCCTCCCTGAGCCACACTGGGAAGTTACGGGTAGAGGTTGTCCGAGTGCCCCCGGAGCCACACTGGGAAGTTACGGGTAGAGGTTGTCCGAATCCCCCCTGAGCCACACTGGGAAGTTACGGGTAGAGGTTGCCCGAGTCCCCCGGAGCCACACTGGGAAGTTACGGGTAGAGGTTGTCCGAGTCCCCCCTGAGCCACACTGGGAAGTTACGGGTAGAGGTTGTCCGAGTCCTCCCTGAGCCACACTGGGAAGTTACGGGTAGAGGTTGTCCGAGTCCCCCCTGAGCCACACTGGGAAGTTACGGGTAGAGGTTGTCCGAGTGCCCCCGGAGCCACACTGGGAAGTTACGGGTAGAGGGTGTCCGAGTCCCCTTTGAGCCACACTGGGAAGTTACGGGTAGAGGTTGTTGCTGAACTCACTCCAAGTGTGAGCAGACTGACCGGGCCGCGGTGGCTAGCAGCTCTGCCCCCCGTAGCCCCGGCATCCCGTGTCCGACGGGCTCTCTTCACCGAGGGCCTTGGCGCCCTGACGTGGGCCCTGAGCAGGGAGTTAGCGCCGCTCCACGCCCTTCGCCTCCACTGGACAGCCAGCAGCGGGTCACAGGGGCTTGGGCGGAGGGTGAATGGGAGATGTCACCTGCTGAGTCATTGTTGGCAAATGTCATTCCTCAGAGCATTTTGGGGACTCTTAGTGTTACTTGGAATTATTCCTACAAAACTCGAACAGCTAATTTGTTCAGTAAAAAAATGAACTGAGTTAGTTGCTTGGGTTTTTTGCCTTTTAAAAAATCCTCACCTGAGGATATTTTTCTATTGCTTTTGGGGCGGGGGGCGCAAGGGGGGCGGGGAGGGGAGAGACACATCAGTGTGAGAGAGACATACTGATTGGTTGCCTCCTGCACCATCCCGGCCAGGGCTGGGGACCTATCTAACCTGCAACACAGGTACTTGTATGCCCTTGACCAGAAATTGAACCCAAAACCTTTCGGGTTGTGGGCCGACGCTCTAACCGTTGATCCATACCGGCCAGGGCCGATGGTTTGCTTTTATAAATGCCCTTAGTGTTCTGAGAGACTTGCCTGCTGTGTTCTCCGTACCACCCTGGGCTGGGGGCTGGGCTGGGGGTGAGCGGAGTGTGGGGCGGAGGTTGGGGGGCAGTGGCCTAGGACAGTGATGGGGAACCTTTTGAGCTCGGCATGTCAGCATTTTGTAAAACCCTAACTTAACTCTGCCGTGTCACATATAGAAATTTTTTGATATTTGCAACCATAATAAAACAAATATTTTTTTTTAATATTTATTTTATATATTTAAATGCCATTTAACAAAGAAAAATCAACCAAAAAAATGAGTTTGCATGTTACCTCTGACACGCGTGTCATAGGTTCGCCATCACTGGCCTAGGAGGCGGAGGGGGCTTGAGGGGTACAGCAGGAGTGGCTGAGAACCTCCTTTCTGAGGCAGCTGTGGCTGCTGCCTCACAGAGGGATTGACCATAGGGTCCGTGCCACGGGAGGGGGGCACATGCCCGTCTGTGGAGAGGCTGGTGCCCGGGTGACCGTGTCCCTTCCCTGCAGCCCAGGCCGGTGGAGGTGCAGGTGATCACGCACCACATGCAGCGCTTCGCCGTGTGGTTCGGCGGCTCCATGCTCGCCTCCACCGTAAGTCCCTGCCGGCCGGCACTGCTCCCCCCCGTGTCCTGAAGGCCAGCTGGTGTGTCTGCTCTAGACTGTCGCCCCCTAATCCTGTGGGACAGAAATGTGCGGTCCTTTCAGTTCTCAGTGATTGGGGGTGACGGGCTGTGTGGTCAGGGAACCCACATGCGTTCATCGTCCTTTCCGTGACTGTCCGAGTCCTGAGTGCCTTTCCTCGTCAGCACGGAACAGGTCACGAGTCGCTAAACCCAGGGCAGCACACAGCTGGTCCCAAACAGAGGCTGTGAGGGGCTTTTAACAAAGGATCCCTGTGGCTGCTCAGGCCAGGAGAGGTGGAGGGGCAGGCCTGTGGGGGAGGGAGGGTGGTGAGGAGAGGTGGAGGGAGGGGCAGGCCTGTGGTGGGGGGATGCGGGAGGGGCAGGCCTGTGGGGGGGGGTGTTGGGGGGCGAGGTGGGGGGGGTGGGGGGTGGGGGGGAGGGCAGCGAGGAGAGGGGCACTTGGGCTGTGTTGGCCTCGGACACTCACTCTCGGCCGCACAGCCCGCGTTCCTGCAGGCCTGCCACACCAAGAGGGACTACGAGGAGCGCGGCCCCAGCATCTGCCGCCACAGCCCCGTGTTCGGAGTCCTGTCCTAGCGTCAGCCTGGCCCTTGGCCTGTGGGTCACCTCGCCAGCCCGCTGTCCTTCAGGCCCTGCAGAGCGGGGTCAGCGGTGATGCCGATGTTGGGGGGCATAAGGCACCTGCGCCAGGCGGAGCCCCCGTGCCGCGGTGCCCCCCCTCCTCACGCCCTGCACTCCAGCCAGCTTCTGGGGATGCGGGAATGTTGGAAGGAGCTTAACTGCGACTACTCACCATTAGGAAAATAGCCAGAATGTGGCACAGAGCAGCCTCCTCCCCAGGGGCCTCAACCCCGCCCCCCCCCCCCAGCCTATTTTTGTAAATAAATATTATAAACTTGAAATACAAATCGGTGTTTTATTTCCTATCACTTCGCCCTTTATGTATTTGGTACAACTGGCTGGTCCCCGGCCTGGGTGGGTGTTGGGGTCCCGGGCCTGAGCGGTGCCGGGTCCCCAGGCCTGGGTGGGTGTTGGGGTCCCGGGCCTGGGCGGTGCCAGGTCCCGGGCCTGGGCGGGTGTTGGGGTCCCGGGCCTGGGCGGGTGTTGGGGTCCCGGGCCTGGGCAGGTGTTGGGGTCCCGGGCCTGGGCGGTGCCGGGTCCTGGGCCTGGGCAGGTGCTGGTGCCCTGGAGTGTGGTCATCCATGTTCCCTGAGGCACATCCTGGCCTCAGGCATTAACCTCACCAGATGGAAGGTAGCCACGTGTCTGCTAGGAGCTGACCTCACTCTAGTGGAGTGCCGTGGAGCTTAGAGTGCTGTGAGAATTGCTCCAGAAAACGTACCTGCTCACGTCCTCGCGGGGATCCTCGGGCTGTGCTGTGGAGGGGACGCCACACCGCTGCGCCCTGAAGGAAGCCGCGGTGAAGTACCCGCTGCGCTGGGCGCCCCTGGCTCTCCTTCACCCATGTTTTTCTTAAACATCCGAGATTTGCTTCATGTCTGTGGGGTCTGATGTTGATACCAAGTTTGCGGAAGGAAATCTAAACGATGTGGATGTCGCCCTGGTGGCTGCCGGCCGTGGACGGGCACGGTCACCGGCAGAGGTCAGGGTAGGGCAGGGACCTGCGGTTTCCATGACTACGCTTGCAGTAAGCAGTACTCAGGAGCAAGCTGGCTTGAAAGGGATTTGTTAAATTAACAGGTTTAGTTTTATTCCGTTCATAGAGTATTTACCTTACTTTTAAACTGGTGTTTATGGTGTTTCTTCCAAGACACGAAGTATGTTTTATTCTCTCAACATTTGGAAAGAAGCATTGGGCTTTTTACTGACGTTTAGGAACAAGTTGGGGACTCGTGCAGCCAGCTCTCCGCCGAGCACGGGAGGTCGGGTTTCCCACGCCGAAGGAGGTCCGGCCACCGCCTCCTAAGGGTCAGCGCCCACACCTGTGCCCCCCACCGGGGTGTCTCAGCCACGGGGTCCTCCTTGGGCCACACAGACCAAGCCCCTGCTTTCCCTCTGGCCTGGCTCCTTCTGGGCTCGCTGCGCTGTCCGCTGTTCGTCTCTCACGGTCCTCCAGCCACTTGGTCACAGGAGGTCTGGGTGGGGCTGTCTGCCTCAGGTACCCACGTGCACCCCACATCCTGTCCTGTTCAGCGACCAGGCCTGCCCCTGGGCCCTTGGGGCTCTTTGCCTCCCCAGCCTTTGCGTTCTCACCGTTTCCACCCCTGTGCTGTGTTCCTTGTTCAGGTGCCTTGTGGGGTGCCTGTCCCCAGGCCCTGGCTGATGCACGGTGGACGGCAGCTGCCACGGCCTCCGAGGCATCGCCCCCCTCCCAGCTCCGGCAGCTCCTCCTTGGCGCTGCTCAGGAGGCCGTGCCACCAGCAGTGGTTGAGGTAGAACCTGACGTACGCGTTCTTAGGCCACAGGACTTGTAGGCTTCCCTTGAAGTTGGGGACAAGGTTATCTCTGAGATTGTACTCACGTTTGTCCAACTTACAGATGCTGAGCAGGGCATTTGGTTCTAAACATGACATTGATTGGTGGAGGGATTAGAACGTGACCACAGTGCAGGCTCTCAGCCCTGGCTGGTCCCCCGGGACCAGGCGAGTCAGATGAGGCAGGAGGAGGGAGGCAGCTGTTTTTCAAAGCTCCTAGGGCAGTTGTCGGCAAACTGCCGCTCCGCAAACCGCGACTCGCGAGCCACATGCGGCTCTTTGGCCCCTTGAGTGTGGCTCTTCCACAAAATACCGACTTATGTGCATGGGCCACGAAGTTTCAATCTCACTGTACGTGCGCGCCCGCACGTGGTACTTTGTGGAAGAGCCACACTCAAGGGGCCAGTTTGCCGACCACGGCCCTAGGGGATGCCAGCCTGTAGGTGATCCAAGTGTGGGTGCTGGTGGCTCCTTAAGCAAGTGACTGCTTACCCTCTGTTTCCTTATCTAAGACTGCAGTGGTCCTATTGCTGGTAGCAGGTTGGAGTTGTACATTTTAAAAATATTTCGTTTATTTTTTAAAATATACTTTTATTGATTTCAGAGAGGAAGAAAAAGTCAGAGAGCGATAGAAACAACTATGAGGAGAGAGAATCACGGATCGGCTGCCTCCTGCACGGCCCACACTGGGGATGGAGCCCGAGACCTGGGCATGTGCGCTGCCTGGGAACCGAGCCGTGACCTCCTGGTTCCTAGGTCGACGCTTGACCCCTGAGCCACGCCGGCCGGGCAGAGATTTTATTTATTGGTTTGAGAGCGAGAAAAGGAGAAAGGGAGAGACATTGACTTGTCGCTCTGCTTATTGATGCGCTCCTTGGTTGCTTCTAGTATGTGCCCTGACCGGGTCGAACCCGCTGCTCGGTGCATCCGGAGGGCGCTCTCGCCGCTGAGGTACCTGCCAGGCTAATGTGTCGCTTCTTTCAACCGGCCTGCCGGGTACTGTCTGCGGGAGGGGCTGGGGTTGGCCACTCGGTAAGAAGGAAGAATGCCAGTCAGGCTGGTAATCTTAAGGAAATCCGCACATGCTTTTTCTCCAGATTGAATTAGATCATAATGTGACGACGTCAATGAGTAAAATCCACCTTCTGCAATAAAATGCCTCCCTGAACAGTTTTCTGTAAAAATAACTCAACAAATGCACACGTTAGCATTCTGAAATGGTCAGCCAGTGGTTTTTAGAACATTGCACGTCTTAACGGTGTGGCAGTTGCTGGGCGCTACTTAACAGACGTGGACATAAACTCGGCTCTGGGCCCAGAATGTCACCGGCGCTTTCACTGCACACCTGGTCGCCGGTCAGTCTTTCCGCCGGCAGGTGGGGCCGCTCAGGGCTCTCCACGGGCACCTGGGGGACACCCCTCAGCATCGGTCCCCGGGCATCAGCTTCTGTCTTTATTGAATTTCTACTCAGGACCAGATGGGAGAGCAGGCGGCTTAGGATTTTGCTCCTGCACGTGTGGAGCATCGGGGGAAACTGCAAGTGGGAGAGATGGAGGCTCCTGACAGGGTAGCTGGCCCTCCATCCGGGTCTTCGAGGAGGTGCGAGGTGGCTCACCTGGAGCACGGGGAGCTCTGAGGCCCCAGGGGCTCACAGGGGACAGATCCACCAGGCAGGGGTTCTCCCTGTCCAGCTTCCAAAGGGAAGGGGAGGAGTGTGAGTTGACCTTGGGGCTGGGGTTTGCCAGCAGGTGTGGCGGCAGGGCAGGTGCCGGGTTCTCCGTGGGTGGGGGCAGGGGGGATGTGGGGTTCTCTGTGGGTGGGGGCAGGGGGGATGTGGGGTTCTCTGTGGGTGGGGGCAGGGGGGATGTGGGGTTCTCTGTGGGTGGGGGCAGGGGGGATGTGGGGTTCTCTGTGGGTGGGGGCAGGGAGGGTGTGGAGTTCTCCGTGGGTGGGGGCAGGGAGGGTGTGGGGTTCTCTGTGGGTGGGGGCAGGGGGGATGTGGGGTTCTCTGTGGGTGGGGGCAGGGGGGATGTGGGGTTCTCTGTGGGTGGGGGCAGGGAGGGTGTGGGGTTCTCTGTGGGTGGGGGCAGGGAGGGTGTGGGGTTCTCTGTGGGTGGGGGCAGGGAGGGTGTGGGGTTCTCTGTGGGTGGGGGCAGGGGGGATGTGGGGTTCTCTGTGGGTGGGGGCAGGGGGGATGTGGGGTTCTCTGTGGGTGGGGGCAGGGGGGATGTGGGGTTCTCTGTGGGTGGGGGCAGGGCAGGTGCCGGGTTCTCTGGGTAAAACCCCTGAAGCCCAGGAGGGTGGGGAGGACAGGGAGTGAGAGGCTGGGAGTGGAGGGACTGAGGACTGGAGGTTCAAGCCCCAAGGTCGGGAGACTGTGGTCACAGAGACGAAGCCCTTCTCAGCGATCACTGTGTCACCAAGGTGGACATCGGTAGAGGTTGAATCCACTGGAAAACGGAGAATTCAGGGCGTTGGACAGATGGTCTAGTTGGGGGTGGGCACCATCTGGGTGGAATGGGGCCTTGGAGATGAGAGCAAAACTGTGACCCAGAGACGCAGGTGCAGAACGGCCAGAACCTGAGCATCGCCTGTGGGAGCTCACGACGTGCCGGCTGCACATGGCCTTGTTTGAGCTTAGCAGCACCCCTGTGAAATGGGTGCTGCCACGATCCCCATCTTCCAGGCTGACATGCTCAAGCACACAGTGAGGGGGGAGGAGGCTCTGTGTGGTCTCAGGGGCGCATCCGCCCCCCCTGTCCTGGAGAAGTAGGTGGGCGACAGCCCGCGTGGGGGGGCGGGGCACATCTGAGGCGTGAGTCAAGTGATTTCCTGACAGCGCGTGGCCAGGTGGGAAAGGTGTAAAAGGTCCTCCTCCACCCAAACCCCTGGCATGTAATGTCTTGTAGGGAGCTGCTGTCGGTGTTTTTATGTTGAATTATTTTTGTTCACGATGCTTTGCCAATATGTGTTTGCGCTGTGCATTGACTCCATCGTATGTGATAAGGCAAACGAGGCGGAAGAGTCGTCAGTGCGAGAGCCGAGAGCCACACGGGGCACAGCGAGTGTGCGGGGAGTTTCAGCCGTTATCACTTTGTTAAAAAGCGACTGTGTCCTGAGAGCCTACTTGTGAAAACTGCTTTAAAAAATAGTTTTCGTGGGGAAAGAGGATGTTAGGTCCATGAGCTAACGGGTCTTCAGGGCTTCCAGTAAGAAAATATTTAAAAAGGCATCAGTCTGTAGTTGCAGAGTCTAAACATCACTAGGCCTTTCTTCCTGTCACATTGCGGACATGATGGAATCGTTTATCATCCATGAGTTAGAGCCCCGCCCCGCACCGCACCTGCCTCCCCCGAGCTGCGAG